CTCCAGCCTCCCGCACGGCCTCTTTCCAAGGACAGGTGTACCTGGCAGTGACCGCCCAGGACTGTCCTTCAGGAGGGGGGGGCGGGGCTGGGTGGGAAATGCGGCCTCTGGGACTCGGGTTTGGTGGCAAGCTGAGGACGGCGCCGGAGTAAGCGGCTCGCCCATTCGGCCCGTCGCAGATTCCTGACCCAGGTGTGACGATCGCACTGGTGTAGCGAATGGAGCAGATGGGAGTCCCGCGGGAGCCCCGCCCGGCCGGCCAGCTCGCACTGCGGCCCCTGGCTGCTACCTGCAGGCGTAACTGATGCCGGACTCATTACCCCGTTCCTGCCGCACCCGCGGGGCTTGCTCTGCACTTTCCTGCCTGGAGCCCCCGCCTGGGCTGCCTTGGGCACCAGCTCAAGTAGCCCCCACACTGTGGGCGTGGGGTGGGCCGTCCTGAGAGCTCAGCCCACAGTCAGTGGCTGCTGTGCTGGTGGGGTGAGTGAACTAGATTGTTTTTCAGCAATTTGGTCTGGAAAATCTGAGGCATTGGGTCTGGAAGGTCCTGAGGAAGACGGTAGAGGGACACGTGAACAGAGGCTGGGAGGCACTTAGAGGTTCTCGGATTTTAGCCCACTATATAAAATTGCAAAAATAGAGGAACTGCTTGTACCTTTGCCTCCCTGACCCATTCCCTGAAGGGACGCAGCCTTGGGGTCCTGTGGTCCCAGTAGCAGATGTCTGAGCAGATAGTGTCTTCCCATGCCCCGGGTCAGGGGATCTCAGAATCAGAGGCAATGTGGGAGAAACCCTCACCTTTGGTGACTTTGTTCTGAGAATGTCTGGTCTTAGACTACACGTATATGCTTTACTTTTGAGCTTTTTATCTGATAAATGATGTGTCCTTTCTGAATTACTACAATTTCTCAGTAGAATATAAGAGTAATAAGATGTTTATGTAAAATGACAGTGATTTAAAAGCATTGGAAGTTTCTAAAGGGTTTTTTTTTCTAAGTAGGCTTAATGGTGAAGCTGTTTGCCCTTCTATTCTAAGTCATATAAGACATTCATTACAAAATTTTTTTCGTAGATTACCTCATCAATTTAAAAGTAAGTTTTGGGATTTCTGTTCTGCATTTATAAAAACAAGCAAGACCCATTAGAAATTTGGCAAAGTTGGAGAGATCTGTTTTAACTGATGCTGAAATATGTATGAATAGAAACTTTTGGGGGAGGGCTGTGCTCAGAGTACTGATTTTGCTGCTGCTCTGAATGAAGTCACCTTGGGTGTTCCTGCAGGTCAGGGATCCTGAGACCTTTGGCTCTGTTTTGGAGTGTTTCCTAGTTGATATAAAAATGTCCTGGACATGGTTTCCTTGCTCTGCAATGTAAATGGCAGTCATTACACATGATAAGGGTTGAGTGAGGAACAGTAAACTTTACGTAGAATTTTTAAACTTTGAGATGATTAGAGACTAAGAGCTGTGAGAAGGAATATGGAGAAATCCCGTAGACTAGTTTTCCCCAATGGTAGCTCCTTGCAAAACTGGGGTGTAAGCAGGAGGCTGAGTTGTTGTTATCCACCCCCTCCCCCTCGGGCTGCTCCAGCTCCACCCGTACTCGCGTGTGTCGAGGTCGATGTGACCCTGACCCGAGTGCTTGGTGTGGCCCCTAGCGTGGGTGAGGCAGACTTCTCTGTCCCTCAGGGTCTCTCCTGCTGCCTTGCTCAGCCACAGCCACCTGCCCCTCCCTGACCCTCACACCCCATCCGTCTGTCTCCATCCCTACAATTTGTCCTTGGAGAGTAGGGTGGGTGGAAGGGAATTGCAGCATGTGGGAGGCCTCCCCTGAGATCCAGGTCGTTGTGAGTGAAGAAATTTTACAGATTCATTGTAAAAACACAACATATGCTAAAATATGTTTTTGTAATGAAAAATAACAATAGCAAAATAACACTGAAGCTTAAAAACTTACTATTTACTCAAGAAAAAGCATGCCACAGTTTATAGTAGTCTGTAAGATTTGGTAACCAATGACTGAAGGTGAAATGAAGTGAATTTATGAAGATGTGATTCATGTTTGAAGGGTCTGTAAATAATTCCAATTTCACGTTCATGATTTAAGCTTACTTTAGTGGAAATACTAGTATGTCTACAACTAAACTTGTCAGGAATTTCTCATAAAAATTAACAGCTTTCTCGTGGGGTATGGTGACGCAGAGGGATAACTTTATTTCAGGCATTCATTTGAGCCAGGAATGAGCTGAAGGGTGTTATTCACACACAGACTGTGCAGCAGGTTATTTTTCTGAAGTTTGAAATCCGTAAGAATCACTTTTTGAGATCTATAGGGGAATGTGGGAAGACTTAACGAAGCATCTGAAATTTCTCTCTTAGTTGTGAAAAATACTAAAAGCATGTACCTCTGAAGTAGGGACCCAACTGTTTGTCTCCTTGGAACAGTAGAAACTTAGCAATTAAATGAGTCATTAAAATAATTGAACAGTATATTGCTGAGTATTACTTTGACCGGTTAATCATTTGTTTATTTTAAGGTGGTAATAGTTAAAATTGTGTTAAAACTATAACATAAAATTGATTCAAACGGCACATTCTCCTTTATCTTATTAGGAAGTGAACTGTTCTGGGTGAGTGAATTCTCAATGTGAACATTAGAAATGAACTGTCTGAAAATGTACTGAAATTGAATAGTTTTCTAATTTTATAAGTGGAATATTGAGCCAGAATAGTCTTTACTTGGTGATGTTTGACTGTCCGTCAGAGACCAGAGCTCTCTGTCTGCCAGGAGTGGTGTTTTCAGGATCTGTGGGGTGCAGAGGGCAGCTCAGCCCTCACTGGATCACCCCCAGGCTGCTGGTTTTTGCTGAGCTCTCATGTCTGTTTTTCACAGGCTCCTTTTTTGTTTGTTTGTTTGTTTTTATTTTGGTATCATTAATCATTAATCAACAATTCCATGAGCAACATTATGGTTACTAGAGTCCCCCCATCACCGTCCCCACCACATACCCCATTACAGTCACTGTCCATCAGTGTAGTAAGACGCTGTAGAATCACTACTTGTTTTCTCTGTGTTGCACAGCCCTCCCCGTGGCCCACCCCCCACCCCCCACATGATGTCTGCTAAGCGTAAGGCTTCACGGGCTCCTTTTTATCTCCACTTTCTGTTGGCTCTCATTTCTTGGTTTGGCCAAAATTCTATCTCCAGAAATGCCACCAACTCTGATTGTTGCTGTACCTGATCTGTTTTGCCTGGGAAGCTAGATTAAACTCGTTAGAATTGGGACTTTTGGGGAAATTAAAGAATAGGTACATATTTCAGTAAAGGCATCCCCAGGTAGGGGAAATACTCACGTATTTGACGGTGGGGTAGGAACTGTTGGCATGATGGTGCCGGTTAGGGTCTTGTTCCCTGTAAGCTCTGGGCGCTATGTAAGTGGCAGGTTTGGTTGTGTTCTGTATTGGCGTAACTGCTCCTGCCTAGATGCCCGGTTTCCATGTGCCGTGGGTAGTCTTTCGGGACTGGTTTGGCCTCTCCAGAGTATGTCACTTCTTCCTTCTGCAGTGTCTGTTTCCTACCTCAAGGGCCTCCTAGTGACCGGCTAACACAGCTCCCGAGGCCCTCGCTCACGCTGTCTGGGGGACACAGCCCTGCC